TAAAATTACATATGCAGCTCAAATCGTATTTATATTTGGCCAAGAATCATCCATAATTCAGAACTTAGTGTCCTAAGTAAGGGCTTTGTTTGTTTTTAATGGTCGGTGTGAGCCCTTTCAATAGAAAGACCCTTTTCTTAAACTCTGGAAAATTTTCCTGTAATTTTTATTTAATAAATTCGTCTTTATTACCATCCAACTAATCTACTTTTCTTATGTTAGCTCTGTAACTTTTAAAAATCACATAAAATCAGGGTCTTATTGTTTTATTCTCATATGCTTCATTTCTTGTTCTTTTTTCTTCTAAATATGTTTTTTAAAAACTTTTCAGCTCTTTTACTGAATATTTTACTTTAGTTCTTGTTCTTGGACTTTTTTTTTTTAATCTTCAAAAGTTTAGATGCTTTTTTTTCAAATATCGTTGATAATACAAATTAGAGTTCTTGATTTGTGTGCTTGTTTGCTAAAGTTATTTATTCTTCATGATTTCAGTATACGAGCCCGAGTTGTCTCAGTTTTTCTCTTTGATACTGCAATCTTGTAAGATACCGGAGGCTCTTGGATATCCATTTATTTTTATTATTATGGCAACATAAAAGCTGGACTCAATTACTGTGTATTGAGGCATGACTTGTGTACATTTTTAAGACAATTCTTCAGTCGAGTTACTGATTTATTTATTATTGTTTGATGATAAAGTGCCAATCTATCTGCCTGGAGTGGTGCTTGAGGAAGAGAAACTTGCAGCTGTTCTATTCGGACGTTCACTCTATTCATTGTCTCAGCTACCCTTCTGACTTGAACTTGATTTGTTTGGGGCTCTTGCCTTCATCAGGGTTCTGCAAGTCAGAAGACTTTCTCATTGCAGATTTTCTCACTTTGTCTTTGATTCATCAGGCTCCATTTTTCACCTGATTTCTATCATATAAACACTTTTTATTGCTGTGAGTTGGTCTTTTAACTCTTTACTGAACTTTTATGATATCATAGGAAAGGAGATGAATGGATGTGCTCAGATCATAACTCTGGAGTAGATTGTCGTTAGAACATGGGTGGTCTCTACTGTATTGTCATCTCGTAAAAAATGTAATTTTATTCAGGCACTTTAGTTAAGTGGAACTAGAAATAAAGTTCAGTTATTCTAGCCCTTAGGATTAAGAAAAATTTTGTTGAAATGTGATAATTCATTCCCTATTTCATTTTAGTTATTTTGTCATTGTCCATGGTCAACTTTTCAAAATAATACTGTTCTTTAATTACGTCTTTAAAGTAATAGTAAAGTTGCAAGCTTAAAGACATCTTTGAAAAATGTCTAAGAGCAAGGGAGAGGTTTGGGCTACAGACAATGTAGTTCAAAATTTAGAAAAAGATCTATCATACTAAGATTCTGCCAAACGAAATGAAAATGAGTAACCTTGCAAGTGAGTGAAGGTATCTTTTTCTATTAGATATGCATTAAGCAAAGAAAACTTGAGTGAAAATTAAATGCATTTTATCATTGTTTGCTAAAACAATAAAATTACCTGATCATGCAGTCATTAGCAGCTTTGAGAAGTTTGCTGTGAATTAATTCATCTCTGCTGGGAAAAAATTACAAAAGTTTCTAACTTTTAAGGTATGCTGAGATAGAAAATTTTACTTTATAAAACATACACTATTCAAAATTGGACTATGGTCAGCATAACTAATAAAACAAAAAGACCATAGAAGTGTCATGTCATTATTTTCCTGAGGTCTAAAAAATTTGTTTGAACTTTTATATCAAATGTAGTATCATATGTTGAGAACAAGGGTTGTTTCACTTCAGAAATTTATTTTGGTGGAGTTAATGAGTCCATTAAGGGGTCTGGACTAAAGACAATGTAGTTCAAATTTAGATCCTCCTAACGTTTTAACAGTAGTAATTTTTGTAGTAGTCTTCTGTAAAAATATTGTTCTCAGTGGCTTTTTGAAAGATTTTTTAATGTGTAGACATGGTTACTGTCATGGAAAATAAAGTTTGTACAAAATTTGTATATTTTCACTTCTAAGTTGTCTTTATTATAATAGCTAATTATATTTAGTGTGGAGATGATATAATTTTATATTACCTCTTTCCTTTTTATGTTATTGTTTTATAATTTAAGTGTAACTTCAGAACAGTGAAGTGGTGGACTTCACAGAACATCACAGGAGTAGTGAAGATTGTTATCTAGTAATCTACAAATATTTGTCTTTTTTAACAGAATCTAAACTTGCTGGAGATGACAGGTACCCTGTTAAAATCCTGTATTCTGTAGCACTAACTGAAGAAAAGTGTAGTCCAAAAAGATGTGAACGAAAGTCTGTATGAGCCTTCCAGAAAGTTTCAGAAGAGGACAGATTCAGCCAGGTGCTACTTTTTTTTTTTTTTTTCCTTCCTGGTTATAGAATTCCTAACTGAAGCTACAGTTGCCATCTTAAAACTGCTTAAAATTGACCTTAAGGGAAAGGACATAGACTTACAGTGACATCAGCCCAGAGATCTTTGGGTTGCTACTTTAGATTAGGACTGACTGCTTTCATTCTTCTTGTTACTTGAAAAAAATAAACCTCAATCTTGTTCAAGTCACTATTATCTGGGATTTCTCTTGCCATTTTTAAAAGGTGCCCTAGGAGAATCATGTGAAGCTCAGGTTGAGAAACCATGCCTCCAAGTGTTCCATTTGGTCTATCCACTACAGGCATGGTGACTTGGCTAAAATAATTAGTCTCACTTCAGAAATTAACTTTATAAATATATATTTTTTGTAACTCAAGTTCTGAAAAATGACTAAATGTCCCTTGTGTGATTCTTTTAAATGTGATATAGTTAATCGAACATGATTACTATTATTACTTTTTATTCATTTTTCTTTTGAAACAGAGTCTCACCCTACTGCCCAGGCTGGAGTGCGGTGGCTTGACCTTGGCTCACTGCAACCTCCGCCTCCTGGGTTCAAGCAATTCTCCTGCCTCAGCCTCCCCAGTAGCTGGGATTACAGGGATGTGCCACTCCACTCAGTTGATGTTTTTGTATTTTTAGTAGAGACGGGGTTTCACAATATTAGCCAGACTGGTCTCAAACTCCTGACTTTGTGATCCACCAGCCTCGGCTTCCCAAAGTGCTGGGATTACAGGCCTGAGCCACCGCACCCAGCCAGGTTATAATTTTTAAAGTTAAAATAATAGGGAGTAGTGTTCTGAAATTATCTTTTAATACTTCCTCACTATCAGGTATTGTCAATCAAAGTATTTCCATTCCAACTGAAAACTGATATGTGCATATATGTGTTTATAAATAAACATTATGAAAAGACAAATGTAATGTTGTGTAAAAATAAATGAACTCATGGATATAAAGTATCCCTTTAATCTTGTGTTACATTTATTAATTTCAAATGAAGCAAAGCAGTGGCTGTAATATCATTCAATGTGTCCTGTGTAAGAAGTCATATGATAAATTTCCCTTAGAATTTAGCATATAAAGAGTTTGATATCCTTTATAACACCCTATCCTTAAATGCCACATGCCAGACACAGAAGCCATACAAGAGTGACTATAACACACAAGTACAAAGCACCACCAAGCAAAAAGGGCTTAATACTGCACAGACGGCCCCAAAGTACAGCTTGAGGAACACAGGGAGTCATCCCTAGACCTTCACTTAGCTGCCATGGAAACAGCAAACACTATAAGCTTTGCTTCATTCAGTCTTCCAAAATGAAACATTAATAGGGAAAACTCACTAACACTTGTGGTGAACAATATTAGCAAAGATGCAATGTGTCTCCTGGGCTGTAGGACTCCATCTGCTTCAGCTGAACTCTCAGAAATTACAGATGAGATATACGCATATGCACACACATATACATATACCTGTATGCACACAGATGTATTTAAATGAAGGTGCATATACTGGGCTAAAATACAAACAACAGAAATCAAAGGTCATATATAAAAAGGCTAAATATAACACAGGCCTAGAACCAGTTCCTGGCTGGGAGCTGGGGAAAGGTAGACAATTTGTGGTGGGCAGGGAAGACTATGTATACAATTAGTGGTGGGCAGAGAAGGCATCAGTGTAAAGAACTCAGACTCACTTCACAGTAATGGCCCACAGGAAAGTGTGATGTTGTCTTATGTACATAAATACGACTTCAACCTTGCTTTTGTACAAACCAAGCTTGGTAGGCACCCAGGAGGACTGTGCGTTTGTCTTGATGACAGGGCACTACACCACACTGCTGCTAAACCTTCCAGCCCTAGGAACTCATCTGCTACCATCCTTTACCCCCTCTTTTAGGCCCCTGGGCTTTTTCCCATTCAACAACTACAGCCTGAGGCCTGCCCAACCACCTAGCTTCACGTGACTAATTGCAGTGACTAACTGCATGGCTTCCTGCAAGCAAGGTGCTTCTGTAACTGTCTCTTTTTCTGACCCCAATATGAAAACATTTCTGTAAATGTTTGGCACCTAAGAAACATGATGGTTGTGGATAACGTCACAAGTACACAGAGAGACCCAGTTACAAGACATGCAAGGTGAGGGCAAAGGGCACTGAGCTGCTCTAGCATTTCAAAACCAGGACCTGTAGCTTGCCATACATTGGGGGGGGGGGGGGGGGGGGGGGGCGGGTAGCAGAAGGGATGCGCAGAACTGATGACTTCATCGGCTCCTCAACAGCAGGTACATTCAAATTGAAGGTGTCTTGAGAGCCCTACTCTACCCAAATCGTGAGTCTGGTCATTCCTCTAGCAGACCTTGGCGCAGGGACAGCTAGAAAAGCTGAGTTCCAATTGAGTCTGTTGCACCGAGAGTCCTTGTGAAGATGCTCAGCAAAGTAATTATTTTCTTTTGAGCAGATGTACAGCACATCCATGAGAAGGCCATGTAAAGGATGCCCTGCAGCCCAGTCAAACCATCCAATCTGAGTATTATCGCAGCCCCCTGAGTTTCTTCCAATGGCCGCCGTCACTGTACAGTAATAGCCGAGCAGCATTAGGGCGAGTCATCAATGGTGGGCAACCAGAAGACCATGTTGGAACATGCACTGGCAAAAGTCATGAACTTGGGGTTGAATTGCAAACAGGTAATCGGGCCGGTGTGTTTACCATCCAACACAGCTACTTTTATACCACTCTCTCCATTCCAGACATGGATCTTGCCATCCTCCGAACCAATCATAATAAACTGAGAGTCTGGAGTAAACGAAGCCTCCAGTGTGACAGCTTTGCTGTTTGCATAACCCGCAAACGTGTGCATCACCACTCCTTTGAATGCATCAATGAGAGAAATGAAGCTGCCGTTGGTGGAAATGAGGATGACCTTGCCATCGTTGCTGAATTTAAGTCCTGTCCACTCACAGGTTCGATGACACTGCATCTTAAAGGTAGTAAATGGCCCCTTATCAAAAGAACGAAGGTCGTAAAGTTTGACCATCTCAGAGTTGACACCTGCAGCCAAAATTAACCCTTCTGGATCAAAAGAACAAACCGGCTTCCCCTGCAGATGCACGAGGCCCTGGCAGTTAGGAGCCCGGAGATCCCAGAGTCGAATGGTCTTATCAAGAGACCCAGAAATGAAAATGTCATCCACAGGTGACATGGACAAGGCCACCACCCTTTTGCTATGTCCCGGAAAGTATCTGATGTATTTGTTGTCATGCAAGGACAAGTAACGAATAGTATCGTCTATTTTGTTAGAGCTGTAAACAGCTGTGTTTGCCTCATGAGTGAATCTGATGAGGTCCACGCCATATTTCTTACTGTACAGGGTTCTCTTTGGCTTGCCCTCCTGGCAGTCGTAGAGCACGATGGAGTCGTCGTTGCTGCTTGAGATGACCGTCTGGCCGTTGGGGCTGAAATCGAAGCAGTTAATCTTGTCCGAGTTTTCGCAGAACACCCTGGCGACGCGGAAGCTCCGCAGCACGCTGTCGGTCAGCTTCATGGCGGCGGCTGGGGAAGGCAGCGCGGTCTGGCAGCGGGCGGGCTGCTGAGGGGCCAACCCTGGGTGGCGGGAGAGTTGAGCCGAGAGTTGGCTAGCGAGAAGTCGGCCGGCAGTGGGGCCGCCTCCTCTTCTTCCTCCTCCTTGGACGACGGTCTTCTGCCTCAACTGTGGAGCCGCGCCGACCGTTAGTCCTCACAGCCACCTCAGGCGCAACTGACGCAGCAGCACCTCATCGTGTCCGCCATCTTGGGGCGACGGGCAAAAGTCCAGGGCCGGGAACCTCAGCCGGCGCACGCCGGGAAATGGGTGGTGAGAGAGATTTTCATTGAATATAAAACTCAGGGTTGGAAGGGATTTTTTTCCCTAATGGAAATTTTAGAATTTTTAATTTTTTTGTGTATTTTCTGTTGAAATTCATCTCTCTTATTATTGCTGTTTTGAAGGTAATGCATCTTATCTTGCTCATTGAGATAGAATTGTTTTGTTGTTTTCTGAAGTCTTCCTATGATATGTCTGTGTCAATTGAGAATTATTAGAAATCATTTTCATAGATGTCGCGGAGATCTTTGTGTATTTGACTTGGCGAAGTCTTTTTTTTGCTCTTCTTTGCTTCTAGGATTTCAGTTACCATAATAATATTAGATCTTTGCGGTATGTCTTTTACACCCTTCATCTTTCTGTGCTTCAATTTGGGTATTTTTTTCTGTCTCATCTTGCAGTTTATTTATTCTGTGCTTTTTGGTGATGTCTACTGAGTCACTAATATATCTTAATTATGTTTTTCCAATTCTAGAACTTTTATTTAACTCTTTATAGATTTTATTTAACTCTTTATAGATCAATATCTAGATATTTATATTTTATATTTATAATTGAATATATAATATATAAATGCAATTTACATTAATATTATATATGCGAATATACATATTTACATATCTTTAATGGGAGAAGAGTGCATTAGTATCTGGTTTAGTGATTTAAATATTTAATAAAAATTAATCTTTCATGGTGTCTTCTAGAAGTTTGCTGCTTCAAGATAAGCACTAAACCACCATTTGTATTCCCTTAGTAGATGTAGATTTTACCCTTACCTGAGAATTGTAAACTACAATCAAGTGTGATATAATTGTATATGTGTTTGTAACACATCTTTACTATAACCAATAACTTTGAATGTGAAAATCATTATTTCAAACTACAGCATTTATTGATATTTTATTAAACTTATTATTTATTTTTGCTATCCAGAGGGCAATTTAAAATTAAGAGAAGCAGCAATGGACATGTATTATTGAGAATTTCGAATCTAAGATATCATTTTTCTTTTAAGCACAAGTAATCTAGATAGTTACTATATTTGAAGTCATACTCTGACCAACCTCAATTTCAAATTTTTTCCTAGCTGACCCCAAATAATGATATTGGTGTGCGACTTCCTGCTTTATGAGACTTGTGTAGAAAAAAAAAGACACACAAAATCGATCCTCTTTCATGAGGTGTTGAGCCCGTAGGCTTCCTTCAAGGGAGTTATTTGTCCTTATGTGGAACGAGTAAGGGAAAGGAAGAAGGAAAGAAAGAGCCCAACTCGGGTTTAATACAGAGTCTGTGAAAGTGATTCAGTGAGGCAGAAAGCTTCATTGCGAGTCTATGATACGGGTCCAGTTACAGGCAACAAAGAGAAAGTAAATTCCAAAAACCTTTTCAAAAAAGTAGATTTAAAAACAACAATGACAACGCTGGAAAGCCAGATCAAATCAAGAGTTGTAAACCCCAAAATTAACAAATCTAGAGAAGTGAAAAAAAATATTCCTGTGCTAAATTAGTTTCATTAAATGGCCATCAACTCATGTTAACTTTCTATGGTGGTAACACAATCTAAAAACGTTTTTTCCTATTACCTTTGTTTCTGCTAACACTGTCTATCTATCTATCTATCTATCTATCTATCTATCTATCTATCTATCTATCTAT